AGATAGCCGACGAGTTGGCCAAGCTGGGGACCCAAATGGACCCAGCCACGCAGATCGTTGGAGTACCTTTTGTAACGGGAATCAACATCATTAGAGGATGGCTTGAGCGAGAGCACGTTGGCTCCTGGAGGGCGGTGGGAGGCTGCCGGACAGCTAAACGGCTAATGGAGCAACCATCGCCGGGGAGAGCCAGCGAGCTCCTGGCCATGAACAGACCAAGGCTGAAGGTGGGATTGGGTCTTCTTACGGGACACATCACACTGAGGAGCCATCTAAACAAACTTGGGCTTACGGAACAAAGTGACTGCCGCCTATGTGGTGAGGAGAGAGAGGACAGCACCCACATTTTATGCCGGTGTCCTGTACTCACATGCAAAAGGTATAGATCCTGGGGCTGCATGTTCATGGAGCCTGAGGATCTAAACGGAAAAAGGGTTAGCAGCTTGATTGACCTGGCGTCAGATACTAGGCTGGGTTTATTAGCGTAATCCTAAAAAATAGCAGGAGGTCACAATGGAACTTCTAGATCTAGGTGACGTAAGGGCATTAAAGTGCCCACCTGCTCCACTACTACTACTACTACTACTACTTAGATGCCGAAGAGATGCGGCAAGAGGTATAGAGAGCGACTACGCAGGTGGATATCGTGTACCGCGGAACAGCGAACGCCTGTCTCCGTCGTGCCTAATTCTCCAAACCCTACGGAACAAGGGTATTTCATTATTAACTCAAACACTCATTATATCGAGGTTCGCGCCTCATTGAAACCATTATCGTCAGGGCCCGTCGCGCCGACAGTGCCCTTTATTAAAGAGGAACCTACATACATCGAACTAAAACCACGAGACCAGCGGGTCCCGAATCAGAATTTAGATTTACATTCGAATTTAACTAGTAGCGAACAAGCAGTAGTTGACGCGCTAGTGAGTGTACTGACAGACAACTAATAAACCACGTTTTAAATATTAAATCCATTTCATTCTTCAAGAATCGCATACTACGATCCAATATTATACAAGATACATCCTTTTAGTATTTTTCCTCGACTTCCTTTATTTAGTAGACGTTCCTTTATTGCAAACTCGCGCCCTTAAGGCAATCAGTCTATAACATTAGCATTTTCGATACTGTTTCGGAATCTTATATTTTTCTTGTTTTCAATTCTTTATTTCTCATTCCATTTACATACATCAATCAGAATCATTTTACATTTTATTTCTATTTTACTACTTATTACAAGTTAACTATTTTTCATAGAAAGTTATTACTTTCGAGTCATTTCACTCTCATTACACATAAACGCACACTCAAATAACTTCCTCTCGATTCACCGCTCTCTACCAGCCCTGGCTATTGTCGGTGAATGCAGGCAGGCCTAAAACAAAAGAGAGCAAACTTTTCTTGTGTCTGAGTGGTCGCAAGGGACGTTACATAAAACTGGTGGCAGCGCGGTGGGATTGGTTTAGGTGACACCGTTAGGAAGCATTAAAAATACACAAAAGTTACACAAATTCTTACAAATGGCAACTAGAAGCTTACGATCAAACTCAAATAAATCTTTACCTGAGGCTACAGCAGAACTCACTATGGACGAATCAGAGAACGTTAAGAGTAGGTTAGAAAGACTAGAAAAATTAGAAGAGAAAGAAAGAGAAATCCGCGAAATGACAGAAACTTTGAGGAGAGAGAAGGAGGCATACAGTAGAAATCTTTTGAACACTCAGAATACTCAAGCCATAATGGCAGACCTTTTTAAAGAAATTCAAACATTCAAACCATTGATTAATCAAGTTAATATCCTACAAGAACAAATCACTTCATTACAAAATAATCCACAACCACGAAGTTCCACACATCAACCTATACGCGAAGAACGAATTAATTCTCCCATTACCCCCATTGCTCCCATGAATTCCCCTAATTTTCTCGAATCATCTCCCATTCGTTTAAAAGTCGTCGTCGACTTAATTCCCAAATACGACGGGCAACGGATGTCCGCATTTCAATTTAGCAAATTATGCGACCGCGCTCTAGATTTAATTCCGCCTCATCAGGAACCTTTTTTAATTTAATTAGTACTCAACAAATTAGTCGGACACGCGTATACTGCCATCGAAGGCACACACTTTAACATGATCGCCGCTTTAACACGAAAGTTGAAACAAATCTTTGGACCGAATAAATCTTTAAATCAGTATAAAGGAGAACTTGGTAACGCTTACATGAAACCTAACGAAAGCATTTTTGATTATATCGCTTGCATCAAAGAATTACGTACGGCCATAATCGACGGTGAACTCGAACTTCATAATAGACTTGACGATTATACAATGGACAATATTGATTTTGATGTTTTAGAAAGTTTTATAAATGGCCTACCCTCAGAATTATTAATCCGCGTTAAAATAGAAGGCTACAATAATTTAGATGAAGCATTTATGAAGGCGATACAGATGTCTAAAACTTTAGAGATCGAATCACAACGACGCAAAGCCTCTTTCACTAGATCTTATTCCCCTCCACCTTTAGCTAGGCAGGACGCTCTTTTAAATCCCCGTGGAACTCATCCGCAATTGCAAATTGATCCTAATCAGCCTCGAAGCATTCTGCAGAGACCCTCTGCACCTTTCATTAAACCACTCGTTCCTGGACAACCTGGTCCCAATGCCCCTTTCGGAAAATTTTGTCGATACTGTAAAACCGAGGGACATCTTGTAAACGATTGTATTAAATTAAAATATAGAAATTCGTATCCGCGACAACAAGCCGCTCCTTTAACTCGGGACACCGTAACTCAGAATGTAGAGTCGGGAAACGAGACACGCGCTCCGGTAACGAGCGACGTCCGCCGGGACGCGACGGAAAAAACGGGACGTCCAGTTGTAAAATTTCAGGAGACAAGCGAGCCAGTCCAGTGAAAACCCCAATTAAAATAAGTGCTCCAAACGTAATCTTGTCTTCCGAAGACTTAAAGAGAGCCTACATTGTTATGGTCGATTCAGGGTCCAATGTAAATTTAATAAGGAGGCAATGCCTCAATGATAAAGCGAAAATCAATAAAAACGACGAAATGATACTACAAGGTATATCACCGGAACCTATTCGTACCTTAGGTTCTACACTCATTAACTTGCTCGGGAAGCAAACCAAATTCCACATTTTGCCCGAGAATTTCGTACTAAAACAGCATGGTGTCTTAGGCACTGCATTTTTTACTCAGCATGACGCGACTATCAATTATAAGAAAAAATCAATTTCCTGCGGTACAATACACATCCCGTTCGCTGAGGCAGAACTTATAGAAATCAAACCGCGTACCGCGACACCCTTTTGCGTCATAATCACTAACCCCGAAAAATCTCAAGGATATCTCCCACGTCTAGAATCTAAAGACGGCATATTTTTAGGTGACGCTGTAGTCACCAATTGCGAAGGCAAGACATATTTACCAATTTTCAACACTACCTCAGAGGTGATCGATGCTATAATCCCCCATGTCGAATTACTTGATTTCGACGTCTTGGATACACAGGTGGTCTCTGGCCGAGGTCAGGAAGATCCTTGTGTTGGTACCGCGACCCGAGGGCTTGCAGGTATCCACGGTCCGTTCTCCCTCCCATTTAACTCTGAATTAATCGGTCATACTCGTGAGAGTTCCCTTAATCCTATTTTTCCGGACACCCTTAATAGTTGCGACCGAGGGCCCGCGACTGTCTGTGGTGCTGTTGAGACCCGAGGGATCTCGACGGCCTATGGTCCTTTTGATTCTATTTCCAATTCAAGTTCTTACTCTCCAGCGTCGAGAGAAGTTGAAATTTTAAAGTCACTACGCCTTGACCATTTGAACGATGAAGAGAGAAAACATGTAAAATCCTTAATCTTTGAGAATGCAGATAGATTCTATTTATCTAATGAAAAATTAGACATTACAAATTCTGCCGAACACTCAATTCCCACGGTAAATGAAGTACCAATTCATGTCAAGCAATACAGATTTCCCCCGATACACAAAGAAGAAGTGGACAGACAGGTCAATGATTTATTAAAGAAAGATATTATACAAATTTCAAACTCACCATACAATTCACCTCTTTGGATAGTACCAAAGAAAGCTGACTCGCACGGAAACAGAAGATGGAGAATGGTTATAGATTACAGGCTATTGAATGAAAAGACTATAGGCGATGCACATCCGTTACCCAACATTACAGACATTTCGGAACAATTAGGTAACGCGAAATACTTTTCCGTACTAGACCTCGCGTCTGGTTTTCATCAGATCCCGATGTCGCAGAAAGATGCGCCTAAAACTGCTTTTAGTACCCCCTATGGGCACTATGAGTTTAAGAGAATGCCTTTTGGACTCAAAAACGCGCCGGCAACTTTTCAACGGCTAATGGACAACGTATTATCAGGCCTACAAGGCAACGAACTTTTCGTATATATGGACGATATTGTAGTTTACGCTCGATCTTTAGAGGAGCATCACATTAAATTCAAGAGATTAATGAAAAGACTAAGAGAAGCAAATCTAATGCTACAACCCGACAAATGTGAGTTTTTGAGACACGAAGTGACTTACTTAGGTCACATTATTAGTTCAGACGGTGTTAAACCAGACCCGTCAAAAATCAAATCTATCAAGGAATTTCCTACACCAAAAACCCAGAAAAATATTAAAGAATTTTTAGGACTTACCGGATATTATAGACGTTTTATTTCCAATTTTTCCAAGATAGCTAAACCTCTAACGGACCTATTAAAGAAAGATAAGCAATTTTTATGGGGTGCACAACAAAGCACAGCTTTTGAAATATTACGAAATTACTTAATTACAGAACCGCTTCTACAATATCCCGATTTTTCGCGATCTTTTAACTTAACGACAGATGCGTCAGGATACGCTATAGGCGGAGTTTTAAGTCAAGGTCCTATAGGGAAGGATCTCCCTATCGCATACACTTCCCGTGTTTTAAATCAAGCAGAGCAAAATTATTCGAGGGGAGAGCCGCGCGGAGAAGAGCGAGGAGGGCGCGCCTCTCATCCAGTGAAGAGGCTTCGGGCACGGAGGCGCGCGCGACGCCTAGTCCGCCGCCCTTCGCGGCGGCGAATTGTCCCCCCTTACTGGGGGTCGCTGCGGGGAGACCGGAGAGCGGAAGGACGCTGCCGGCAGGACCCGCGGGGGAAGCTACGCCTCGGGGAGTTACTGGTGAGTGCATCGCCGTACATTCGGGTGCTCCACGAGATGTCCGCGGGGTCATGGGTCGACGGGGGGCGCGCGCGTCCGTCGGCGAGGGGCGTCCGGGGAGGGTGGGGGCGACGGCGGTACCAGCGAGTAGGGCGAGAGGCGGCG